GGCGCGCGGCCAAGCCCGCCACGCCGCCCAGGATGGCGCCGTACGTGTTGGTGATGGAAAAGAAGACGGCACAGATCAGCTGCGGGAAAAGCACGTTGTAGGCAATCTCGGCCCCCACGAACCAGAAGAGGATCACGCTGGTCTTAAGGCGGGACAGCGCCGTCCCGACCACGCCCACCACCACCACCGTCGCCCGGATGGCCAGCTGCAGCTCGCGCTCCGACGCCTGCCAGACCACAAATTTACCGTTTCCACTTCAGGATGGTGTACCCCTTTCCCACACACTTTATCACCATTCGTTCCGACACAAAGCCCTTTCATACTGACTTTTGCGGCTTTCGCACCTGCGGCCTGAGGATGTTGTTGTAGAGGTTGGCGGTGAAGACGGAGGCGGCAGACAGCAGGGCGGAGTCGGCCGACGACATGACGGCGGCGGCGACGCACCCGATGCCCATGATGGAGACGTACGACGGCGTCAGGGTCTGCAGCACCAGGGGAAGAACCAGCGCCGCCTCGTCACGTTCAAAAGGGGACGGAGAACCGTATGATGTCGCGTTCCAGTCTGAACACAAAACGTGCACGGGCCTGTCAAACAGCATCTCACTTTCAACTTCAACGGTCCCTCCATCCGTTTCAGCAGCGCTTATCCTGAACAGGAGAGCCTATCCCAGTTGACTATGGGTGAAAGGCGGACTACACCCTAAACTGGTCGCCAGTCAGTGACAGGCCACATATGGAGACAGAAAAAAAACATTCACATAGTCATTAATGGGGAGTGGGAACCGATCCCACGCTGCATGCACGCAAATGGACCGCTGCACTATCAGTGGCACTTCTTAACAACATGAAACTTACAATTCCCCTTTCACGCAAACCTGAATGCCTTTCACTTGAACATAACATTCAAAGCTAACGTTATCCTTTTCACTGCAAAGTATATCTCCTTCCACACTGACCTACTGTATACCCCTTGGCTCAATAATGGCAATCATACTGACAAAATACACCCCTTTCACACTAACTCCTTTCATACTTAGACTGACCTATCACAGTTTCACACTGACATGTGAAACTTTCACATTGAAATATAATATTTGCAAACTGATACATCACGTTCACACGAACCGATACACCTTTCACACTGATGTATAATCCAAACGTATACGGCTTTCGTTTCACAGAAAACACTGAAATAATAACCATTCGACACTCACCTTTGCCCCTTTTAGGCAGACATATGCAGTGACGCATATAGACCTTACCAACTTGATACGGACAAACAGTAGAACTGATGTGTGTCTCATCGCCACAGCCCGTCTACACATCCGAAGGTTTCAAGGCGCTCTCACCTGTGGATGCCCCCACGGCCCCCAGCAGCACCGGCGGGATGCCGAAGACAATGAAGACGGCGGCGGAGATGAAGCAAACGCGCTTGGCAGTGCATGGGGACGATGCAGACAGCGTCCTCTGGTGGAAGGACTGATATCCCAGACTGCCCAAAGCCTGAGAGGACAGAGGCCGACCCCCACCCCCCACCACCACACACACACACACACACACACACACACACACACACACACACACACACACACACACCTATCAACAATTTACA